GTAGTAAGGTATACTACTCCTTTGCTTAAAAATTAAGAACTGGAGTGCTACAGACTACAGTATGTGTCCTTTATACTCGTTTTCGGAGGGTTTTTAATAGGTAACCTCTGGCTAAGCTCAATTGGAAGTACACCGAGCCTAATATCTTGCGGATGTACTGGCAAACTCATCTCGTACTGTAGTTAAATTGTATTCTTTTAATGTTGCTCATTCAGATTACGCTAAATAAATATATGTAATGTTTTTTACAGGTACATCCCTGATGGAACGATTGAAAGTTAGCTATGAGAGCATTTATGACAACAATTCAAACTTTATAACTATGCTTGTCAAAAACTTCCGTTCGGACCCTGACATATTGCAAATTCCAAACAATTTGTTTTACGACGATAACCTACAGGTAAAAGAAATATTTATTAGTCTGTAATGACTTTTAATCATTTAGTATAATTATTATTACACTACAATTAGTTCTTGACTGGTTTCAGGGAAAAATTTAAAAGATCTATTCTTCTACATCCCAAATGTGTATTTGTCATATACATGACATACTGCGATAAGTTTATAAATAAGATAAAAATTGGGATGCTTAGGCGCTAAGATATAATAATTTACTAATATTATAAAGGGCATTGTTGTGAGTAAAGGGGCCAGAGTCTCGAAATGAATGAATTATTTTCAGACATTTTCTCGTGATATCGTTACAAACAGAATCACATATTATAATTAATATTTATCGTAAGAGAAATAATATAGATGTGTTTAAATATTAAAATTGAAGATTTCTATTGCTTATGTTTAGTTTTTGTAACTAATTGTCATGATAAAATATTTGACTATAGATAATAGTATAAATAATATATTTTCTCCTACTTCTGGAGATACCTGAGAGATATCAGTCAAAATGTAATCCCAATTATTTATTTCATTTCAGGCACTTGCAAAACCTGATCCTCTGAGCAAAGTTAGCATACTGGGACTTTCTGGAGGCAAGAGAGCTATCGTCTTTCACGCTGTTGCTTCTCAGGAGCTAAGAGTTGGAAAAGCGCCTAGGTATTCTAACAAATGTCCAGTCTCCACTAGAAAGCCACTCGAAGTTTACTGTGTTTATTGATGATGACTTAAAAAAATATCCAGTTCTGCTGTTAAATTACATTTTCTTCATAAAACTAATCTATGTGGCAAATCATATTTATTTTATTTATTAGAAGTATAACCTTTATACTCAGGGTAATTTTGATGCAAAAATGGGTTGCAACATTGTGTATTATGTAGGGTATAAAACACATACCCCATAAATCAGTTGAATACTCATCAAAACTTTTACACAGAGCTCTTAAACAGTCTTACACAACAATCCAGTACTAATTTAACTATAATTTCTCACAGTAAGATAGATATTCGTGCAAAGGCTCACTGGTTAACAAGGCTGTTTATTTACAGTTACTTCAATGAAATGGAATTGCATATGCTCAAGAGATATGTAAAAGCTCTTATCGACGTTCACAAGGTGTCGCCCACTGATATTGGGATTATTGCCCCATATATAAGACAGGTTTGTTATTTTAATAAAAACTTAGTTTGTTGGATTTTAGGTCATTGAGAAAGAACTTATTTTACTCACAATACCTACTAATTTGTACCTATATTATCATATATATTATCGTATATACATACTGGTAGACCAGGCCACGCGTTGCTGTGGCTAAGATTCTCGAATAAAATAATATTGCGACTATAAATTGAGACGTAAGCTATCCTAGCTTTCAAGTTGGATCACAGCACATAATGTGCAAATAAAATTTGCAATCGGTTCAGTAGTTTAGGAGACCATCGCGGACAAACAACGTGACATGTATTTTTTATATATACATGTATATACGGAAACAGGATTTATACCATTAATGTTTATTATAAAAGTACTTTTACTTTTAAAAATCAACAGAGATAACAGAAAGATGTACGATGATGTTCTACAAATGTAACTATTCTTCAAATCTCACCCACGATTTTCTCACCTATACACATAATGAAATCACAAATGAGTTAAGTCTGTACATAAAATATTTTTTCAAAGAATTGTTCTTCGAATTTTCATTTGTCCGAGTACACGTTGATTTCGGAAATATCTGTTTGAATCACCAGCATTACGATGACTGACCTGTCTGTCAATATAGTTTTTATTTGAAAAAAAATCATAGGACCATACTAGGTATGTGTTCATATGTGCACCAACTGCATGTATGTCATTTGTGTCAATTAAAAGTAGGTAGGTAGAGTAACGAATGAAATGATGAGTAGGTATATGATGTGAATGTATTGTGTAAATATCCAGTTAAAGATTACTATATACTTGAGGTTTGGAAAATGTATAATTAGCAAAAGTATGAAGGCAGTACTCACGCTATCTCATAAAGCTATAAATATTTAACCACTCATGGCGCATATAGTAAACTATTTATATCTTTATAATAATAATCTCAGGACGATTCACACAGCGCCATCTTTCCCCTCCGATCAATCCCCCGTCCAATTCGAGTCAATTAGAGTAGTCCGAAACAAAAAAAGCCATCTAGACCCAAGTTAAGCTAGCTAAAGCATTAGTTATGGGTACTAGATAACTGATACAAATACGTACAAGAGAAATACATACATATTATACATAGCATATACCCAAACCGATACAAACAATCATACTCATAAATCCAAATGTTTGTGTCGTGCGAGAAATCGCACCCGCGACCATCGGAAGGCCGTTATATCTTTATGACAAGTCCCTTACAAAGAGAACGGAGTGCTGTATGTTATGAAACATATCATGTGCTGTCTAGGACCCAATTATAAATTTCGATCACGTCGGGATTCGAAATTTTAACTATTAAAACGTATCCAGGAAAGTTTTTTACTTTCCTAATTTCCTATAATACAATACTAATGTAATACAGTATGAACTGTCTTAAGCTGTATATATGCAATAATCTCGATGGTTAGATTTAGAGGCATTTATAAATAATTCTATTAATATCCGTATTATTATAGGTCTATAAGATGAGAAGTTGGTTGGACTCCGAGAACTACAACAACGTGGAAGTGGGCACTGTTGCGGCATTCCAAGGTAAAGAGAAGAGAGTCATATTGGTATCCACTGTGAGAGCCAACTCAAAACTGTTGGATTATGATGCTAAGTACAGTCTCGGATTCTTAGTAGATGATAAGGTTAGTACTTACATAAAAATATGATTTAAATAATGTACAGTTGTAGTTTGAATCATACTACATACAACTGTATAGTTTTCATACTGTATGACCTACTTTATTGTACAAGAAAAGAGCAAGTACCATCTTTACGACCTTGATAATGCAGTGCGTTAACACTGCCCCAACTTCAGATGCAGATACAATTCTCATCGTTACTATATCTGTTTTTATTTTATGAACTGGACAGAATTGTTAGAAATAGTATAATAAAATTACATGCACAGACAAACTGTTATTAAGTAAAAAATGAATTATTTTGAAAGTACAATCAAGGTTTTGCTGATACTTTCAGTGCAAAGATATAATTTCATTACTAAATTAGGCGAAATGTTCGTGAGTTTACTACTCACTTTTAAATTCAGTGATTTAAATATAACCTCTTAATAAAGATTAGGTTCTAGGTCAGTTATTCTAATTGACATACTTCTTTCGCATAATATATGTATATGTTTTGTTGTATTATGAAGGTTTTATCATCTGACATATTAATATGAATTTTATTTTAATAAAACATATAGTTCTAAATTTTTAAACCATAGTTATTAAAAATTCTAGACGTAAGCTAATTCTAATTAGAGATGCCAAACGTATCCTGTCCTTTTAGAAGTATTAGAGTTTATCAGGCCTTGATTTCTTTGTATAACTATGTTGGTAACCTTGTCTCAAAAAGAACTAGCTTCAGGGATTCTATTTATTTTACTACATATTCTAATTATTTCTTTTGGGAAAAGGAAACAGTTGTATAGTCGTGTTTTTTTTTACAGAGATTCAATGTAACACTGACAAGAGCGAAAGCGAAGATAATAATAATAGGCAATCCAGCTTGTTTGGAAAGAGACTGTAAGTGGCGGATCTACATGGATTTATGCAAAAAGTATGACTGTTACCACGGCATGGAAACGAAACAAATACCCCGAGACGTTCTACTTCATTTGGATATACAGAAGAGACTTAAAAAGACTCGCATCACGGAAGATATAGAAAATAAACTAAAAGCTAACTCTGCGGAGAAGTGACGAAACTAATTTATTTTTTAAACATTATCCTTTGAATGATTAATGATACCTCCCATAATGAATTGTAAGTAATTAAGGCAGGTATTAAATTTATATATAATTTATCAGATTTAGAGATTATTATGGTGCTAAATCACCATAATCACTTGTATTCTATAATTTAACATTTGTATTCATTTATTAGTATTAAGTATTCCATTAATAATAAGTTTTAACCTTTATAGAGATTTAGTGTGCATATATATAGGTCTTTAATACCAAAGTATACAATACGTGGCGAATGAACGCAATTTCTTTTTTATGTCAATTAAAAAAAGGTTTTTATAACTTGTGATATAAATATAATTAGAGAATATATAACCTGTCAGTTACATTCAGAAATTTAAAAAATTGTGGCAATAGGAAAAGCACATTTGTTTTATCGTTATTTTAGCTTATACGAAATTTTATTTGTGTCTATAATATATGTATAAGAATATGCCATTACAGGAGATACTGCAACTTACCTAGATTCAGGAATTTCTTTTTGCGCTATATATAAATATATGTGATATACATTTTCGTGAAGGACAAGACATGAAAAAATTAGGAAAGTAAAGGAAAATATTTTGTTTTTTTTTATTTTTGTTTTTATTCTATCGTCTATTCCGTAAATTGTTTGTACTCATTTGAATATCCAGTCAATGCCGCAATTGGATACAGTAATTAGACAGTTGTATTTTGTTGCTCTTTGCTTTAATATTATCTCTTTCTAACTGACGCTGTTCTTCATGTATTTTGCAAGGCAAATAAAATTAACCCTTCTCATAGTAGTATGACATCTTGGGACTGACAATTTGCTCAGTTTTCACAAAGTAGTTATAAATACAATGACCATTAGAATGTAATCTTTAGGTTGTTATGATAAATTTACACAATAGGGAGATTGTGCACAAAATATTGTAATACAATGTGATATTATTTGTATTTAGGATATATTAATGAAACTTTTGACCAAAAAATATATGTCTGTTGTCACATATTGTACTGTAACATTGTATAGTGATTTTATAATTATTTTGGTATTACTTAACACAGTAGATGAATGTTTATTTTACACCAATGTGGCTTTTTTATATAATACATTTATATCTTGTGTGTTTTAAAAACAGAAATTTTAATACTAAGCTACTACTAGAAATTAATTCTACGACATTTACAAGTGTGACGTCGTAAAAAGAGATTGGACGACTCACAAAAATCATGAAACATCGGACTCCTCCCATCCTCCAAGGAGAAGCCTTAGATGTTGTGACCATATATTTCAAATTTAGTATTAAAATAATGTGACCAGCTATAATGTTTGTGACGGAATTTATGTATATGGCCCCTTGTCTTCTGTATGATTTTACATTGACATTTTATAATAATAATTTATTCAGCATAAAAAAGAGTACAGAGTAAAAAAGAAAACTTAAAAACTAATAATGCGCTATGCTGAAAAGGCTTCCACTCAGCTGGTGCCGCAGCGTATCACTACAGCGCTGATTTTCAGTGGAGCCACTTGAAAAAAAAGAAATAGCATTCGTGATGAATTTAAATATCTAAAATGAAGAATCAGTTCAATGGATGAATTATATGTGTGATAAATAGAAGAAAAATATATAAGGATAAAAAGTGTTGATAGAAAGACTTTTGTGTAATATAGTATAGCTTGAATATATTTATTTATTTAATCAATATATATATGTATATATAACTACTGTATTTATCTGCCACGTTTAAAATTTTTGTACTTTGAGTAAATATTTTTTAAAATTATGTTTAAAAGACGAAACTGACTGAATAGTATTTTGAATCGGGGTGGTAAATTGTTCCAGCATTTCGTGGCAGTATATTTAAAACATTCACGAAATGCTGCAGTTTTATATTGAGGACAGATCATGTAGGGATGTGACAATCGATGATTTCGCATAGAAAATGAAAGTTTTACAAATAAATACATTGGTTTCTTATACTTCACTACTCCAAAAAGCACTACTGCAAAATGTAGAGATCGTTTTTGTTCCATTTTTAGCCAGTTGATTTCTATAGGGAGTAACATGAGCACGGGGTGGTATAGAAAAGCAGAAGCGTGCGCATGCATTCTGCACGCGCTGTATTATTTTTTTTGTACGATTTAATTTTGATGACTTTTATTTTATTAAAATCACTTGGCACTTGTATTTATTGTCTTTAAGGTTAAAATTACATTTAATGTTTATTTTATAGTAAGGATAACGGGATACATTTATCACGGTATTTTATATTTAGTAATTACGAATCATAAGCCTAAAGACAATCATTAATATCCTTGACTCACAAGAATATGTACTGCCTAGGATACAAATAACAAACATTGTTTCACAACAGTATGCAATAATGCGTTAATAATATGATTTGCATATTTTTAGTATATTATATATAATATTAATATTCTGCTGTAATGATATGTCCTAGTTTAATCCTCTTAGCCAGCTATTTATTTAGCATTATTATTTTGTCCAGCCATATAATGACAGAATGAATGGGTGACCATTTCTTAATATTTCATCTTGTATATATCGAGACACGAATTATTTAAAATAAGTAGGTACCGAATAGTACAAAATAGGTACTAAAAGTTTTCTATTATATAAATAATAGAAAACTATTTATGTGAGTATTATAAAAAATAAAAAAGATCTTATTTTCTTTGTATTGGTTATCCATATTGCACTCTATTATATTTTCATATTTTTTATGGTATCCATTCATTTAAATAAAAAAATATTTTTTCAATAAATAATTACTTACGTTTTATTTATTTCATTCGTTAACCTTATCGTCAGATTTTCTATTTGAGTAACTGGAATGGTAAATAAGCTGATGGCCCACCTGATAGTGAGAAATGGACTATGAATTTCAAGTTATCGTGTGATACTCGTTTTTCCCCCATGTGGTTCTATCCATAAGAACGAAGGTGTCATACACCTCTAATTTTACTGCCATATCTCATATAATAGAACCACGGCTTACACAACAAACTGCGTGGTGGTTGAAGTCACTTTGTACAAAGTATAGCCTAATTCAATAGTATTATAACCTTAACCACGTGGAGGGAAGGGGATTGTTAGTAATGTGGACTAATAACCCTATTGCTAGCAATGTACCATATTAGATGGACCTCCATGTGGTTTCTCTCTGGAAACCATCATGATAAATTCATGTTGAATTTATCTATCGATTCAAAAATAATTTTTATAATACCACAGGTTGTCAATGAAAAAATAAGAGAACGGGCATTGTTAGCAAAGGGGACTAGTGATCCCCATCGTTAGTAATGTACTAAGCCAGGTGGACTACCACGGTGTTCCTACTGGAGTCCACCGTGGTTGATTCCTTGTGAATTCTCTATGATCAGCTAACTCTGACTATACCTACATATACAGGGAGGAAGGGGATTGTTGTTAATGTGGACTAATAACAGCATTCCAATGTCCCATGGCGACGTGGTGCCCCCTGGGAACCATCGTGATAAACTCTGAATTTACCGCGATGTGTTAACTGCCTAGACCTTATGCTCGTCTTATCATCCTCCACTGGTGCCCCGCTAGTGTAAATTATCAGCGCAGGCGGGTGCGCCATTCCATTATCATCCGTAAGACTATACGTATACTGATTTAACGCTTGCGGGTATGCAATTTCATATTCATAAAAAAAACAATTACGTTAAACAACATTCTACGATGATGGCAAAAAGCAAATCTGAATGATGGTAAAAGCCCATGTGATGCTCAACAGTTATCGTAGCCTATGGACGCCTGATCCACCAGGGTATCACATACGCGTTGCAGATCATTAATATAATAACTAAACTTTAATTAACTTTAGTTATTTGTGTTTTGTAATTTGTAGGTTGTACCTAAAATTAGACGATAATTATATCAACTTAGTATCTGCGATTATAGATACTTATTTAGTTAAAGAGTTATGATTCAGAGACCATTTTGTAGTAGATATTTCTTAGCTAAGGTAATTTAGCAATGATAAAACTATTCTTCCTGTCATTGTAGAGTATATAATCCTTTCATTTGAACTACATATGAATAATTTGAAAGAAATGCCGAAACAATAATATTATGCCTACCTACTAATGACCGATCGGTCATTATTATCTGTAAACCCTGCTGACCATTGTGTTTTTGTAACTAAATTGGGTACAAAAAGACAATAGTCACTTTGGTGACCACGTCTCGACATTAATGATGATCTCAAAGTTTCTATGAAATTCTATAGTTTCAAGAATTATAAGTAAGTAGGTACAGTAGGACACGAAAAATTGACTTCAATTGCATTATTAAGGATAACTCAAAAACTATATACCTTATTATGTATGTTCTTGTACTAAAGCCCCCTAAAAATATTTTTGGCGTCTGCGTCTGTTTGATTTTATGTAATTTGATGTCATTCAAATTACATAAAATCAAACAGACGTATCACGCTCACGTCCCGCCTCATGCCAAGCTGTAACCATTGTCTATAGACATGAACAGCACCATGACATCACGGTATTATGTTACAACCGCCTGATGTCATGCCTTATTCTGTAATTCCACTGCTTAATCTGACCCTACAACCGAATCACAGCTTACAAAGCAAGCTGCTTGGCGCCTGAAATAGGTGACACTAACGTACCCTCGCAGACTATTTTTTACAGCCTCTGTTAAGCATATACGTAGATAAAGAACATGAAGAAATGTGAATTTTCTTTAAAATACAGTATTCATTCATTCATAATTTAAGAGCTGTGCTCTTGTCGGTGGAGCTCCCGCCACCTTCCACGATCTTCTATCAGTCCCTTTAGCTGTTGATACGACACGACTCCAACTTTTTCTTTAACTTGCTTGATATAGCTGTGTCTTGGTCTTCCCCTTCCTCTCTTTCCATCTATTTTTCCTTCTATAATGTTGTTAATTAGTTCGTCGTGTCGTATCAAGTGCCCCAACATTTTCCCCCGCCTATTCTCAGTAAGTCTCTGTTTCTTTTCTTTACTCCCCTCAAACAGTTCTTCATTCCTTATTTTATCTTTCCAGCTAATTCTTTCCATTCTTCTCCAACACCACATTTCAAAGGCTTCCAGTTTGTCTCTTTCCTTTTGTGTCAATGTCCACGTCTCACAGGCATACAAGGCTATACTCCAGATGTAGGTCTTGATAAGGTGTTTCCGAGAGGACTTTGATATAAGCTTTGATAACTCTCAAAAGATGTTTTTATCATTAAATGCTCTTTTCGCTATAGCTATTCTGATATTAATGTCCTTGTTACTTCTGGAGTCACTGGTAATCATACTACCTAAATATTTAAATTTATCTACATTTTCAAATTGTATTTTTTTTATTCTTGTAGTATTTCTGTTATGGGGTTTATATTTGCTACTGTCATTATTTTAGTTTTCTTGGTATTAATATTTAGTCCATATGTTTTAAAAATTTTATTCATTATGTCCAAAAGTGTATGAAGCTGTGTGTAGTCTTCAGCTAGGGCAGCTATGTCGTCAATAAATCTTATAAAATGTATCCTTTGTCCGTTTATTTGAATACCTCCCTGGTGTAATTCTATTATTTCTTTTACTGCAGCTTCTATAAAGATATTGAAAATAAGAGGTGAAAGTGGACATCCCTGTCGTACTCCCTGTTTAATTTTAGCTCTTTCCGTTACATTTCCTA